CCTCAGTTACTTTTATTAAGTCTGGTAATACTGCAGAAAACAACTAACCAGAATTTGGCAGGTGGGATAGCAGGAGGGTGCGCAGTGCTGGGGATCGAGCTCAGGGCCTGCACACTGAGCTGCTTCCCCAGCTCTTTTTACGTTTTATTTTGAGACAGTCGTACTAAATTGCTAAGTTGCCTAAGCTGGTGCTGAGATTATAGACATCACCAGTATCACTGGCTCAGGACTCCTCTGTTACCTTCAGTTTTTTGTATTTTCGTTTGTGTGTTTTATAAATGTTTATGTTTACTAATAAGATTATCAGAAAATAAACAAAAGGAAAAAAACCGCTATCCTATCATTTGTATATTTTTACATTCATTTTATAGTAATCGCCCCTTGTCTGAGAAGGACATGTTCCAAGACTCATTGGGCACCTCAAACCAAAGAAAATACAAATTTGAAATGTAGAGTGATTGGAGATATAGCCCAGTGGTAGAGAGCTTAGCTAGAACATTGAGGTCCTAGGTTTGATTCCCAGGACCACAAGAAAAAAAGAAAACTCTCTTCATTGGCAAGGTGTGTTTTGTCATATTTTTAGGTTTGAAAATCTTTATTGTCTCCTAACCATATTTTTCTGTTTGAAAATATGAAATATTTTAGCCGGGCGTGGTGGCACATGCCTGTAATCCCAGCACTTAGGAGGCTGAGGCAGGAGGATCGTTGTGAGTTCGAGGCCATCCTGGGCTACAAAGTGAGCTCAAGGCCAGCCTGAACTGCGTAGCGAGACCCTGCCTTAAAAAGACAAAAGAAAAAGGAAACAATGACCAGGAAATAAATCTGAACACATTAAAAAAAAAAACTTTAAATTTGCTGTGAGGTTTTGTAGTGAATTTTTAAAATTTTAAATACATTTTTATTTTTAACTTATACATAGTAACTGTACATATTTATGGAGTACAGTGTGACATTTCATTTCCTTTTCAAGAATGTATACAGTACAAGATGGTCAAAACAGGGTAATAGTCATATCACCTCACCTCAAACATTTATCTTTCTATCTTGTGTGTGTGTTGGGAATATTCATAATCCTCTTCGCTAGCTATTTTAAATGTACTTAACTGTTTATTGTCAACCACAAGTTACATACTGTGCTACTCGAGTCAAAAAAATTATATTGGTGTAGTTATTAAAATCAAAACACAAATTGATAAGCATTATTTTAATATCAAATTGAGTAACAATCCAGATAGCAATCAACTGATTTGAACGGATAAAGAAAATGTATCTGTAAAATAGATATATTTAATCAATATTGAGAAAAGGAATAAATTACTGATAGACACAATGCACAAACCATGACTCATTCTAGCAACAAGTAATTCTCATTCATGGACAAGTAGAGCAACCAGGAAAAAGAACCCTCACTATCTCCAAGAAGTGCCATGCCCACAGCCAACTCACCCACCTTTATCTGTGAAACAAGAATGTGAAACAGCCTGCTTTAAAACAGTTCTCCTAAGTGTTTCCTTTTTATACTCAATAGATTTAAGTGTTGGGTGTTACGTTTAGTCACTTGTGTTTTGGTTTTAGCGAGCATGTGCAGTTACACAGCCAGCCAGTTTTAGAACATCTGAAAGATGCCCTGTTACTGCCCGTAGTCAGGCTCGCCTCCACTGCCAGGCGAGGAAACGGTAGAGAGCCCAGTGCCTGTGCTGCCCATGGAGAGCAGTACTGGGTAGATTTTTAGATCACTGTATTTCGATTTCTAGTACATATGAAGCATTGTTCTTCCTGTGACTCATGTTCGCAGTTTTTACCAGTGTCCTCATCCACAGGCTTCCATTTCTTAGAAAACAATGACCTTTTAGTTTAATATGACTTGCTTGGTTGTGTTGTTTTTAAAAGCGCCTTTGTAAGGCACTCTGGAACTCTGTCGTTGTAGGTTTTGTAAGTTACCGTTTTTCCATTTTAACTTTCCTACTTCAGATCTGAGCTCATTTACCCACAAAAAAAAGTTTCCCTTTACCTGAGCTGTTAAATTGGTGCGAAAATACTTCGAACTTCCCTCAAGTTTTATTTTGTTTCCTGTCAGGTCATTTTTATTTTGATTACAATTTTGAATCGTGGTCTGATCAATTTACTCCTGAAAAAGTCTTGCGAAATAGTATATGTCTTAAGTAGTTTTTTAATGTCTTTTGTTGTTGTTGTTTTTAAAACAAAGATTACCTAATTCTCCTGGTTCTTCCTATCCAGTTGCATTTAACCATTTTCTTATATTGAAAAACTGGTGATTAACCTGGTATAAATCTAGCATTCCAAAAGAGTAGGTAACTAATTCCTGGACTCTGCAGTACATTTCTGTCAGTCTTCCTGAGGTTTAGGAAAATGTTCACTAGAGTTTAAATTCAATTTCAGTAGATGTGGATTTTGCTCTAGCAATTTGAAGAGGCTATTGTGTAATTGCTTGTTTCCCAAGAACAGTAATTTCACCCTCAAGAACAGTAATTTCACAGCTAAGTAGAGGAAAAAGCAGCAGGCACCGAATGGCTGTGTGAGTACGGCCAATAGAATGATTCAGGGAACAAGTCTGTGAAGGTTTGAACAGGGAGAATACCTTGGTCCCTTTTCATGCCCAGAGTACCAGGTAAAGAAGTCTGTCATTGAACGATCCTGCATCTCATAATTTTTGCACAGTTCCAGTAATTGTGACGTTTGAAAACTGGCTTAAGTTACAATATTTGTCACTAACCATGTAAGTATAAGAGTTAAAGTTAAGCTTTATGTGGTGGCACATGCCTGTAATCCGGGCATTCTGGAAGGCTTAGATCAGAGTATCACAAATTCAAGCCCAGCTTGCGGGTAGGATGCAGCTCAGTACAAAGGCTTGGGTTCAGTCCCAGTACTGCACGCAAAAAAAAAAAAAAAAATTAAGATTATATTGGTAGTTTACAAAGGAAGTTCTTCTGAGAGGTGTTGTGGCTTTGACAGTATAAACCTATGACAAATAAGAGGTTACTACAGGCAAGAAAAAGTGTCTCAAGAATGCTTGAGAAAAGGTACATTGGAACTTCTATATAATAAAAGTGTTTTGGGTTTTAATGAGGGGTGCATTTGTGGGTTATATATACATTGGAATAACTAATTCATAAGACGTGCTTGTTTCTTTCACTGGATGTATTCTCATAAATTAAAATGTTTTGAATGTTTAATTTTTTAGAATATACCCTAGTAGATTCTCAGATTCTTTGACCAAGCAAATGTTGAGAAGAGGTCATATAATTAACAACATCATAATTATTAACCTATTGATAACAAACTCAACAGAATGGCTATAAATTCATAAGGAAACGATTACCATTATGAAAGTTTCATAGCTGATCCCACATGAAGGTTGAGCAGTTGCTTACTTCTGCCCAACGTTACTGATTTTATTCCTCTTCCACCTTGAGTATTTGGGGCCATCTTGAAGTGGATTGGAGGGTTCATGATCCTATGTCTCCATCCACTCCCTGTGGAGTTGCTCTTAGTCAATACATGGAATGTGGCAGCCTAGGACAGAACTTTTCACAAGTAAAGGAACAGAAGTTAAAGGAGCTGAAGAACTAAACGAATTACAGAACTGTTCACCAAGTACTGTAGTACAATTCCAAGTCAAAACCAAAAGGGCAAGTATCGTATACAAAGACCTACCTGGTTACAAACCCTAGGATAGCAGTTCAGCAATAGGAGTTCACGAAACCCACTGGAGTCCTGACTGACTCATCTGATAGCACGTTCAAGGAGCACACAGAAGTCAAAGGTGAGGAGTCGTTCAGTAGGCCATTTGGAAGGATGCCAACTGAGGTCTAAAGTTGACTCTGAAAAGATGAAAAGTGGTGCTTAATATCTGAAGCAAAAACACAGACCTGAAGTTATTGATTACTTAAGCAAGAAAGTGTTTTGGTCGAGCACTGCCTTCCCTGGGCAGAGCAGGCGTGGGTCTCGGAGGGTTTGAGGGTATTGCGAAAGTTTAAAGATAGGCAGAGGCAGGAGCGCGTCACCAGGTGAAATGCTTGCCATTGTTTGAAGTGCGTCCATTTTTAATTAGCTAATTTTCAGAAATGAGGGGCCACCAGTAACGGGTTACTTTGCAGAAGCATGTTCCCTGAGGTATGTTGCAATGGGTTGGTTCAGTTTCCTTAAGCCAAGACTTGTTACCACAAAAGAAATGGGGTTGGGTTTTTTGGGGGGTGCAGAGGGTGCATGCTTGGCAAGTGCCCTACTGCTGAGCCACATCCCCAACTCTAATTAAAACCTGTGCTGGTGGTTATTTTTGTGCTATAGCTGCTGGTCATGTCATTGTTTCCAAAAGCATGAAAGCTTTCGTTCTCATACAAGCTACCATCCTGGAAGTGTTTAAATGTAGTATCTACCTTTAGTATTATTGAAACTTGTTAATAGTAAGCCTTTGTATGGTTGTTTCTGTTTGATTTGATTTCCATTTTCTTCATCATTCTGAACGCTTACTGACTTTTCCAGTCTGGGAATTCAGTCTTTGGTTATGCCTCTGATTTCAGAATATTTCAGGTTCTTTGTATCTCCATCCATTTGAGGAATAATAAATGTGTTCTTCGCTTGCTTCCTCTGCCAACTTACTTACATCTACCGTTCATCTATCCCAGGGATTGGCCAGATAGTAAATAATTTAGGCTTTATGGACCAGATGGCTTCTGTTCTAACTACTTAACCCTGCTGTTGTAGCATGAGAGAAGCCACAGACAGTACACAAATGAGTGGATGTGACAGTTTCATTAAACCTTTACAGAAGGCTGAGGGCGTAGCTCAGTGCTTGTCTGTGGGATAGGACTGAAAGTCATCTCTAGTTCTGTAGTAAGTCTGTGTATAGAGTGAGTGTTCCATGTTAGTATGGTGTAGTAATCATTTTAAATAAATCTTGTGCAAATGTCCATTTTTATAAGAAGAGTATAAATACCAAGACCTTATTAAGAGTTCTCTTTGTCTTCTTCTTTAACAAGGTACTCAGCTCGACACGTTGGCATCATGCGTGAGTATAAGCTAGTCGTTCTTGGCTCAGGAGGCGTCGGAAAGTCTGCTCTGGTAAGTTACTCTCACCAAACCAAGCTTTCATTCCAAGGTGTTCTTCTCCTGTTGACTTCTCCTATTGACTGTTGGTTTTCATTATCTGTCTTCATTTGTTAAGGTGAAATCCCAAATAACTTAGGAAGAATATGATACTTTTCTTGTAATTTTAGTTCTGAGTGGATCATATGCCAAGTATGCCAGAATATAGTTTGTGCCAAGCGCACAGAGAAGAGCGTATACATATGTGTCTGTTGCATTTTAGGGCCAGATAGGAATGCGTTTTGGTTTTTCTTGTTGTGAATAGTCTTGCATATTTTATGATAGGAAATGTCAAAGCTTATGAAGTCTTTGCACCCTTACCTGTGACTGTCTAATTTTGCATTGTTTTAATGGTCATGTTTTCAGCATAAAGGAATGGGATAGCAAGAATCAAGAAACAGCTTAGTGGTGAGGATTTCGGGGAGGAACTTTGGGAGAGTCATTTTGATTCAGTTTGGCAGAGACTCACAAAACATAGATTGACCTTCCTTTTCTCCCTACTGAGATAAGCCGTCCTACGTGGACACAAAGTAGCCATCCAGTAACCTTGGCATGTTTAGATCAAACGAGAACGATGTGTAATATGGCATGAGCCAAGTGTGGTGGTGCACACCTGTAGTCCCAGCACTTAGGAGGCCAAAGGCAGGGGCCGCTTGAACCTGGGAGTTCATTATTAGCCTAGGCAGCAGGGTGAGACCTCCACCCAGTGTGGCATGAGCTGCTTTTTAAAATTAGTATCTGAAGTACTGGGGAGCTGGGTTGGCTGTGCATGTGTGTGTTGCACAAAATTACAATATTTGATGCAATACAAGTAATTGCTGTGCTGTGTATTTAATATAGATACGAGTCTGTCATTCCCCACCCCACCTCCCTGGATTTTTATGTATTTCATTTCAGTATTGTCATTGAAACCAGGGCCTAGGATATACTAAGCAAGTGAGCAATGGCTCTACCGCCTCTCCAGCTTTTTTGTTCGTTTGTCTGTTTGTTATTTTGAGACAGGCTCTCACTAAGCTGTCCAAGCTTTTCTTCAGCTTGTGCTCTTCCTGTGGGAACCTCCTGAGTAACTGGGGTTGCAGTGTGTGCCGCTCTTGAAGTTTTTATCCTCCGTTAGTTGAATCTGGGGGTGCAGAACCCGTGGATATAGAAGGTCAACTATAATTTAAATTTAGAGATTTGGATATGTTCTTTTCTTTAAAAATATAACGACATGTTAATTTTTTTCAGACTGTACAGTTTGTTCAAGGAATTTTTGTTGAAAAATATGATCCTACGATAGAAGATTCTTATAGAAAGGTATATGTTACTTTAAAAGGCCTTTTGGTTTTAATATAAATGTAAATACTTCTTTTTTTTAACCTTTATAATTATTGGATATTATATACAAAGTAGGATGAAGAGACAGTTAATTTAGAAAATTGGTGCTAAAAGTTCACACTCTTCCTGGCCTATTTGCCAGTTGAGAATGAAACACACACACACACACACACACACACACACACACACACACACACACACACAACGGTTTTTAAGTTTATCCTGACCCTAGAATTGTGATTTGACACTCAAACTTTAGAGCCAAGCCATTCATTGCAAGTGCCAACCTCTAATTCCCCACTACCACCCTCTAGAATGATTGCTCTCGAGCTCTATATTTTAACATAGAGATAGGGGCTGGGAATTTAGCTCAGTGGCAAAAGCGCCTGCCTGGCAAGCGCAAGGTCGTGAGTTCGGTTCCCGGTACCGGAGGGAAAAAAAAACAAAAAACAAAAACATAGAGATAGTGTACAAACATCTGCCTAACCTTCCTGTCACCTCCTCGAACAAGTGTCGCTGCTCACAATAGAAACGCGAATTCTGTTGTGTTGTTAATACAGCATATGACAATAAATAATTTTCAGACATTCTTAATTTAGTGGAGAGAGTTGCCTCCTCACCTTCAGGTAGCAGACTTGCTTCTGTTGTTATATCAGTATTGTTTTTCCATTTCTGTGTGTCCACAGAATACCAAAAATACTAGAAAGTTCTTCTCTGCCCCAACTCTGAAATTCTAAATAGTGTTTTCCCCTAGGAAGTGCTAGGTAAAGGGCGTGAGAGAAAAATACAGTTTATTTTGTAGTGGTCTCCCTCACTGCTCTCTTCCTACAAGAAGTCTTGTTTCAGTATATTGAGGGAATAAAGTCAACAAGGGAAATAAAAGGGTATCTCAGAGCTGGGTGTGGTGGCACATGTTTACAATCCCAGCCCTTGGGAGGCTAAGGCAGGAGTTCAAGGCCAGCCTGCACTGCAGAGTGAAATCCTGTCTCAAAACAAAAGCATATCTGACACGCTGTGGAAAAATCGTTGCCAAAATCAGTGCTGGTACTGTTGGAATTCGTACTGGTTTGGAGAGCTTAGGAAATTTTCCTTCAGAATTGAACGGACTGATTGATGCTGAGACTGAATCTTACTGACTTGGTATTGATACTACCTGTGTAGTTGCCACAATCTGTTTGTGTTTTTAATAACTTCTGTGTGTGTTTAAGGTAGTTTTATATACCAAAAAAATAAAGATGTATTTCAATTTTCCCTCAGCAAGTTGAAGTAGATGCACAGCAGTGTATGCTTGAAATTTTGGACACCGCGGGAACGGTACGTAAGACAGACTACCAACGTTTATGCAGTTCGTGCAATACTGACTTAAACACTTACTCAGTAGATGAACATTAGTTAAGCTTTTTGTTTTAGTTAAGCTTAAGTACTAATATTAGTATTTAAAGCTGTTTTTCTTAATTTTCTTGAATTTTACTTTTTTAAACATTAGACTGAAATTCCAATGGATCAGGTAGTAAAGAATTTTTAAAAATTGTTTCAATGAAAATTTTGTTTCACTAGTACTTTCACTATATTTCAAATAATGTGGAAATTATCCGGCATACTTTTCACTTCTCAGTGCCGTGTGAACAGTTTGATTGGTATCCTTCCTCCTTAGAAGTACGTATCAGCTCTTTTGTTACTATAATGACGTACATGAGGGAAGCTTACTTTATAAAGCAGAGTGCAGATTCCCAGGGTTGGTAAGGTGGTGGCCTTCGTGCTGACAGAGTCGTGAGGCAGTGCAGAGCATTACGTAGAAAAGACAAAGAGCACATCCGCCTGTGGTCCGTCTGTCTCCTGTGAAGCCACCCCAGTATTCACTGGGGGTAAGGCGCTCCTAATGGCTTTCCGAAGGCTCCACTTTAAACATTAGAGTCAGACTGAGTTTTAACCCTCGTAATGTCTCACACTGAGGATTAAACTCGCATCCATGATACCTAAGCAGAGAGTCAAACCATATCCCCTCCGTAGCAACTAGATTTGTAAAGACAGTATCCAAGAGGAAGGGGAGGATGTGTTCTGTGGGTATGGTATGCATTCGGCTAATGTTTGAGTACCATTATGTGCCAGGTACAGTACTGTCAACCTCAGATATTCATAGTCTAGTAAAGAAGTGTGGAAAAATGGCAAGATAAGGGTAGAGATAGTCTGGGCTGGGGGGTTAGCTCAGCGGCACAGCGCCTGCCTGGCAAGCGCGAGGTCGTGAGTTCGATTCCCGGTACCAGAAAAACCAAAAGGGTAGAGATAGTGTAACGGACCTCGTACAACAAGAGCATTGTGAGCTAGGTGTAGCATGAAGATGCAGTTAGAATGCTCTACACTTTATTCAAAAACCTGACTTAGTAGCTTTCAAAGACAGGCTATTTCTTTCCACATGAGAATGTTTATATATATGTTTAGGGTCTTTGGTTTTTGACTAAAGCCTGTTTCTTAAAATACCAATTTTTTAAATAGTATCTTGCCAAAGACTGTAATTTTAAGAACTGTTACATGCTACTTCATATTCTTCATTGAGCTATCATCATAGACTTTGAAAATTGTCAGATTAACTCAAAACATTCTTGTTTTTTAATACTCCTTTCTGTTTACTGTAGGAGCAATTTACAGCAATGAGAGATTTGTACATGAAAAACGGACAAGGCTTTGCTTTAGTTTATTCCATCACAGCACAGTCCACGTTTAATGATTTACAAGATCTGAGAGAGCAGATTCTTCGAGTTAAAGACACTGATGATGTAAGCTGACTTCTAATAAGTAACTTTCATTTCATCCCTGTTTATGTTGTCCAATTTTAAAGTTTAAATTGAAACGTAATTTAAAGTATGTATTTGAGATTGGATTGTTTTTCAGAAGCTTTATTTGAGAGGTAGAAATACATCTTTAATGCTTATCATGTCTTTAAATATATATATCATCCAGAAAGTGAGACGTTGCCCTCCTGTCTTGTGAAAATTAAATGTTATGCCCTTTCTGTTTTTAAACTGCATCTTGTGGAAAGGAAGAAGTGTGGGAGATAAATGTTACTAATACAGCAAATTATGTTCTGGGCGCACTTCTGGTAGAGGTTAAAAGCCTTTTAACAAAAATTAGACACGTGAACATACATCTACTAACCATAGAGAGGGGCATAATCAGAGTTTTAAAGGAAGATAAAAAACTACATTAGATTCCAACATTAATGTGGGTTCCCCTTCAGAACGTAACTGTTGGGAATCTGAGGAGGAATGTTTTCATGCCGGTATGTGATGCTTAGTATCGCTCTTGCATCAGAATCACGGTAGGACCGGTTAAAATAGATTGCTGGACTCAGCCTCTGAGTGTCTGCCTCAGCAGGCCTGGAGCAGACCCAGAAGCATGCATTTCTAACACGTTGGCCGGTGGCCCCGGCGGCTGCCGATCTGCACGGCACTTCAAGCACTGCTGTACTGTAGTTCCCTTGTAGCGACCACTGTGGGACCTGAGACACACCCGTGGTTAATCCTGTCATTTTCTGGACTTCTCCAGCAGGAATTTGGAGACATCTGCATACTTCCCTTCTGTCAGTTGCATTTAAACAACTATTTACTAAATACCTATTAATAAACTCTAATTTTATTTCTAAAATACCAGAAGTTTTGTTTTTCTAGTTTAGATTTTTTTTTTTAGAAAAGCAGTGTAGAAAACTGATTTCTAAGTAATCAGTAGTGTTTTGATAGAATATGAGTTCTTTTTTCCCTATAGTGTTCTTTTAAAATTGTAAGTGTTGCGTGTACCCAGAGATGATACCACTGTTGAGTGGCCTTGATTTTTAGTAAGTTAAGTTGATCTGACTCTGGTTTTTTAACATAAGACTATAAAAAAACTAAATACATTCTTGGGTTTTTTGTTATGTTTTGGCTTTGCTTTTTTTTTCTTTCTCCCAGAAAGAGTCTCACTGTGTTGTCCAAGTTGACATAATCCTCCTACCTCAGCCTCCCATGCAGGAGGTTACCACCATACCTGGCTGAGAAAGTAGAAATGCTTTAGGAGCCTTCCAAATTCCTCCCTTCGTGTTGTGCAGTTGATCAGTTCATGTCAGGAAGCCAGAAAACTTGAAGTTGATTCACACACTTAGTCAAACATTTCAAAATGTTACAGTAGGTTGACTTTTTACTATAACATCCTTTGTACATCTTTTTTTTTTTTCCCCCCCTCTGGTTCCAGGAATTGAACTCATGACCTTGCGCTTGCCAGGCAAGCGCTGTGCCGCTGAGCTAAATCCCTAGCCCCTTTTGTACTTCTTTTTAAAGAGCTTACATGTTTTGGTTACCATATTTATAAGTCTACTGTGATAGAATTTTCCCTTTTTTGTAAGTAGGTCACAGCTTATTTCTAAAATTTTCCTGTGAGTGGCTCTTAGGTGAATCTGCATTGATTAGATGATATCTGTTTTACACATACAAGAATTTCGGTTCTCTTTACTTACCAGTTGTCACCTTCATGGGAAAAGAAAGCAATGTAAGTGGTTAACAGTATAATTGACCTGAAAATCAGTATTATTTAAGTCTTACAAATTAACGTTGTTAAGATAGCCACATTTAACCACATTTTATTGATGTATTGCTTTTTTCTAGCATGATAGGGAAGGTAGTCCTTTGGGTCAGCTCTTAGAATTCTTTTTATTTGAAGTTGTGTAATACACTTATTTTCATCCTTACAATTGTCTTTCTAGGTTCCAATGATTCTGGTGGGTAATAAATGTGACTTGGAAGATGAAAGAGTTGTAGGAAAGGAACAAGGTCAGAATCTAGCAAGACAGTGGAACAACTGTGCATTCTTAGAATCTTCTGCAAAATCAAAAATTAACGTTAACGAGGTACGGTCAGATATACTTAAGATAGCTCTTTACCTGTAACTGTTTCAGATTACTAGAAAAATGTGTGTGCATTAATTAACCCTAAGTTAATATATTTTTATGGTGATGTTTGATCTTACAGGGAAAGAGTCCTGTTTGCTATATGTGTGTGTAAATAAGTAACAGTGCTGCTTCAGTCCTTACTAAAAGCTGACGGTGGAAACTGATCATGGGGAAGGAGGCGAGACAGAGTGGGGTGGGTGCCGTGCAGAGACTGCAGCTCGGGAAGGCAGCGAGTCCTGACGGGCTCAGAAGGCCCAGGGAGAAGAGAGGGCTTTTCCTTTACGTGATGGCAGCTGCTCTGACTAAACTAAGTCTCTGCAGCGCCTTCCACTCAGTATTTGTTTTGAAGAATGCAATTTTAACTCTCCCCAAAAATGAATAAATAAGGAACTTGGCACTTACAAGAACACCTAGTTTTACTCTCGTTCCTAACTGAGCAGAATATTTGTTTTCTGCAGATTCATTTCTATCCATGCAAGTTTCCATCTGTATTTGTTCCTCCTGTAAATTAAAAATAAATAAATACATGTATGTTTGCAGATCTTTTATGACCTAGTGCGGCAAATTAACAGAAAAACTCCAGTGCCTGGGAAGGCCCGCAAAAAGTCATCGTGTCAGCTGCTTTAATTACTGAACGCGTTGTAGCTCTGAGCCAGGTAGGTTGATTCACCTTTCCTAACTTTTGACCGTGTAGCTTTGTTGAGGGCCCTCTGTCATGAAAACAAGGGTAGGGTTTTTTCCTTTTTTTAATCGTTCTTAAAAAAGGTAACTTTTTAAGGTATTCGTGAGTTAACATAGCCTATAAGTAAGGTGTTGCACGTAAGTGACTGTTCTACATAAGTTCATTCAGTGTGTGCTGGTGCCGGCAGTACTCAGCAAAACCAGCCTTTTCTCTCTCTCTCTCCATTGAAGCTAAGGTACAGGGGAAGAGGAAAAAAAATTCCAAAATGTAGTAGGTACAGTGAGAGAATAAGTCTGGCGTAGTATTGATAACAAAAAACCCTGACACATTTGCCAGGTGCCTGGCACTCTTAAAGCCTGCCCATATATTAATTAATTTAATTCTCACAACAGTAATAGCCAAAACTATTGTTATTCTCACGTTACGGATGAGGGAACTGAGGCATGAAAGAGCTGCTCCAGCCCTGCAGTTAGCGAATGTCAGAGCCGGAGTCTGAGCAGGAGAGCGGGCACCTGAGTCCTTGCTTAGCGCTGTGCTGTTACAGGTGCTGTGGGAGCGTGAGATTGCAGCACCAGCCCTGCCATTGTGCGCTGAGGATTAAGGTAGAGTTCCTCAGAGTAGGAGGTACTAAGCTGAGACCTAAAAGATGGGTGCAGGTTCTCCGTGTTGGGGGTAAAGGACACAAAAACAGCCCAGAAATGTGAGCAAAGGAAGAGTGAGCACACAGCATTTTTATATAGGTTTAAAAAATAATCGTATCAAATAAGATTAACACTTGCACATCAACTAGGTCCGTATCTGGCACGTAATAACTCGACAAGTAACTTGCACTCCTAGCCAATGGCGTCTTCCTGCTCAGTTATCATTAAAGCGCTGTTTCACTGCGCCCCCAACCTTGGGAACATTCTGACGTTGAAGAGTTCGCTTCTTCCTGCGTGAGGTGGCCCCCACCACCATCGAATTTAGTCCCTTTGTCTGTCTGGCTTTGGGGTGGTCTGTCTTCACAGTCCCATTGGAGCTTTCTGTGTAGTGATCTGGTCTCTTCGCAGTCCTGAGCACGTGCTCACTCTTAGCACACGCGTGTGAGTTCGCACACTGTCCTTCCAGCTGGCTGTTTTCAGCCTCTGGGTTTTAGAAAACTAGATCACAAACCTCATTCAGACCGAGTGAGAGTCTAAAGTTCTGGGAATTCGTGAAAAATTATTTCAGCAGCCACATCTATCTTAACAGCATTTCCGGAGCTTGTAACAAGTCTGAGCCCAATAAAAATAAAGTTTTTTAAAAACCTTTTTAAATTTTTTCTGAAGAAAAGAACTTTCGTGTGATCTTAGTATCAGCATTTTTTTAACAGCTCAACTTGATAGAATTTATATAAGTATGAAATTAGAAAATAGATAACTGTGGATAAAGCAGTAAAAAACATCATAAAATAAACCCTGTTTGTCTGCTCTGAACCAGTTTTCAGCTCCTCATTCGTTAGAAGAGTCTAGAAGCAAGGTCCTGGGCCGGGGATGTAGCTCGACAGCACGGTGCCTGCCTGGCAGGCACAAGGTCCTAAGTTCGATTTCTGGTACCAAAAAAAAAAGAAAAATAAGAAGGTCTTAATTTTCTGATAAACTGTAAATCCTAGTTACGTGGGCTTGCTCTGTTTGCAGTGTAATTCCAGGGTTAAACAGTTACAGGACCAGTCATTTTTAAAAATATTTTTATTTGGCTCTTAATCCTAATTCTACTAGGTTGACTTGGCCAAAATTGTAATCTTTGAAAGTAACATAGGGCCAGGGATATAGCTCAGTGGCATAAGCGCCCGCCTGGCAAGCACAAGGTCATGAGTTCAATTCCCATTACCAAAAACAGAAAAAGAAAGAAAGAAATGCACTGGTGCCTCTGTCCACGAACTGGATTTGTACCGCGGTTTTGGAAAGATGGCCGTGGTTGTGTTTGTCACCAGATGTAGAGTTTGCAGACAAACAGAATTATGCTGATACCTTTGAGAAACAAATCGCCCCTCCCTAAAGCATTCGCGAACTGAGGTACCAGTGTACACAGAAATTTGCATGCAGGTGTTTTCCTTTTTATGTCTAAATTTTTCATTTGACTTGGAAGAAGGCAGCAGGAAAGATTCTGTCCTCCCCTTGCTGTACTGGGGATGGAACCCAGGGCCTTAGCACTGAGCCACATCCTCAGCTCTTTTTTAAATTGCGTTTTTGAGACACGGTCTCATTGCCCAGATCAGGCTCAACTTGCACTCCTACCCAAGCCTCCCAGAGAGTTGGGATTATAGGCGTCAGCCACCACATCAGCTAGACTTCATCTCTTTAGAATGAGGAGACGAAAGTGTCTGTACTGTAAGGTAGGCTACATTGTTGTAATAACTAGAGCAAGGTCCTGTAGTGTATTTATTTCTAACATTTAAAAACTGTGCCTTACTGTTTCTTTGGATCTTAAGTGTACTGTTTGCAGTTTTTTCTTTCTCCCCTCTGACAGGTCTGAAGAACTGTTGCCCAATTCAGCAGTGCCAGCATTCCAACTTTGTTAACCCTACCAACATCTTCAGTGGACTTTCCTGTGGTGGTACCGTCAGAGGCGGATGGAAGCTACTCTGTCAGTTTGCACATTAATCACTTTCCAGTATCACAAGAGAGATTTTTACTTATATAATAGTCCTAGAGTATGCAGCTGGTGAAACCAGAGGCTACATCCAGTATTACTGCTAAGAGACATTTCTTCATCCACCAATGTTGTACATGTATGAAAATGGTGTACTGTATACTTTAACACACCCCATACTTTGTATTGGAGAGTACAATAATGTAAATCCTAAAAGCACCACTATTTTAGCATAATAAAAGAAAGTCCAAAGAGCTCCTATATAGACTACTCCAGATAACTTCGCTTCTTTGATACTTGTAGCTTATTGTAATTTTCTTTTAAAAAAAAAAATCAAGGTCATTATCATTGTATTGTACAAAATAACTGCTTTGATTAACACAGCTACGTAGTTTTTTAATTTTTCAAAAACCTGTGGAGACAGTGATCTTGTCTTTAAAATACAATAGTCCTTTCAGTATAATGTCTTAGATTAAAGACGTTGCCTTTAATATCTTTTGGGAAGGAAATGTCCAGACTTTTCAAATTTCCTTATTATATGTTTCCTTTTTTGTTTACATAGGGAACAATGTTTATAATTGTGTGTACAGTGGGGGTCTACAACAAGAAGTGTATATTTTCAAACAATTTTTTAATGATTTAACAGTTTTTGTAAATCATTTTCAGGCTTCTGCAGCTGTAGATTCTCACTGTGAATCCCTTGCTTGCTCATGCATAAGTGTATTTGCAATACCAAATATACAGGTTTAGTATTTCTGCCTGTTAGTGATTGTTTCACATGTGTAACGTTTTGGTTGAGCTGTTAAATGGTGGACGCGTACTGTGGATGTGAATGTGGGAAGTAATTTTAATCATGTGTAACTGGTCACAAGGCCTCACTTGCAGTCATATCGCTGTTGTATTTAACAATGCCTTGTTGCTTGGTATGCACTAACGTTTGGGTGTAAAGATTGTGTGTCTATCCAACAGGGAGCCACAGTGTTTAAATTGACCGACCTAATGTTACAGCTACTTCGAGGTGGCCAAATGTAAACTAAAAGCCTTAATTAAAGTGGTGCAATTTTGTATAACTTAGCATCAGTAGTTCAATAAATCTGGATTGCCATGCAAGGGCTTGCATTATAATTACTTGCCACTTGAATGTGTTTTGTGTAATGTTTTAACAGTGCTAGTAAATAAATATGGGTTTACCTTCTTTTTAAATGTAATAGATGTTATTTTACACAGTGTGGTTTTATAATTTAACATGAGTAAACCAGACTCATTAATTAATTAATTAATTGCAGAAATGATGAGTGAAATATATAAGGGTTTTTTTTTCCTATTTCATTATCCACTTACGTTTTGAACTTTTCCCTAAGAAAGAAATTTTATAAATCAAGCAATGTTACTTATGAACAGATGTTCAGTAGCTTTTCGGGATAAAGTAGGAAGAATTGAAAATACTTTGGTGGATGCTACACTATGAATTTTTTTAATGTAGAATGAAACTGTACCTAGAATATTACAGTTATAAAAATCTTTGAATGACGTGGACTCAAGTTCTACTTTGTTTTTGGAGAATGGGTCTGTGTCTTATGTGTTGTAATTCATTTCTGTGAAATTCATAAAGATCACCCTAACTCAAGCCTTTTCATAATATTTATCACCTACTGAACAATTAATTAGTGGAGCCTTCTAATTTACAAGCGTGCGGTAGTCTCTAAAAGCATGCTATTTGAATGGCTATTAAAGGCTTTCACTTTAAGACAAGAGTCTTATTCTACGTACTTAAGAGCGTTTCATCTATTGAAAATCATAAAAAACAAATGTTCTCCCAGAAGTTTTTAACTAAGAGTCCTGTTTTGGCGGAACTGGTTTTATTTATTTGTAGTCGTTCGAGTAGAGATTAAGCTTGGGAAAGTGGGACTGTGGAACACTAGAACCACCTCATTTTACTGTGCTTTGGAAATTTGAGGGCACCACCATTTACTCAGCTACTGTGAATATTTATTACCTGGCAGCTGTATACCAGGAACAGTTCTAGACTTTTATATTCATGCTGCTGGTAAAACTTTTTAAGTATCAAAACCAATTCTAGAAGCCAAGCATGGTGGCACATGCCTGTGTAATTCCAGCGCTTGGGTGGCTGAGGCGGGAGGATCACCATGAGTTCGAGGCCAGCCTGGGATGCAAAGTGAATTCAAGTCCAGCCTGAACTGCATAGTGAAACCCCTCAAAAAAAAAAAAATTCTAGGCCTAAGGCTGTAACAGCAAACCAAGGCCAACTAGAACCATGCCTTTCCACCTAGAATTTACACTGTCTTACAGATTTTCTGATCTTTAGTATTATTGATGTTTTTATACAATGTATCACAGCAACTATCCTGTGCATTACAGAACTTTTAGTAGCATCTCTAGTATCTTCCCACTGCTTGCCAGTAACCCCACATGCACACTCCCAAGATAGGACAACCAAAAATCTCTCAGACATTGTCAGATACCCCTCTAGTTCCCTTGGGGCACAGAGCACATAACAAAGTTACCGTAGTTGAGAGCTCACTGGCGGGAAAAGCACATAGTCGTGGGCAGCTGTTAGCACTGTAAAGTGAGCCCCTCAGTACACTGGATGAGGACGTGGGCTCTGGAACCAGATGTCCCGGTTCTCTGAACTCGGGCCTGCCGTTCCGTGCACACTTTCAGTACCTGTGCTTCCATGCTGTAAAATGGAGGCGATGAAGGGCCTTATTTTGGGAGAGTTGGAGACTGAAGTGCGTGCCACCCTCCAGGGTATTTAGGCGTTTCTTTTTATGCTAACAGTAAAACACGGCTGTGGTTTAGCAGAAAGCACCATTTTTTCCCCTATAGAAACTAGAAGCTTCTGTTTAGAGTTTCAGATCATAGGTAGATGGACTTCACTGGCAGTTAAGATGAAATAATTCGTTAGAAAAGGCCTGAGTTCATTTTTATGTCCCCAAGGATACTTGGAGAAATGAATTTTAGGAGAAAACCAGAATGAGTGCTATTTTACATTTTTCAAAACCTTTGACTTTATTGATTTGATTTCGCTCCTCTCTCCTCCATTTATTTTTAATTTTGAAACAGGGTTTCACTAAATTGCCCATGCTGCCATCAAACTTGCAGTCCTCCTGCCTCAGCTTCCCAGAGCACAGAGGTTATAAGCGTGCATCACAGCTGTCTTAGCTTTTTTTAAGTAGCGATACGTAGTCTTTACTGTGTGTGAACATTAAGAATAGAAAGGTGCTGGGTGCAGTGGCGCACACCTGTATCTTAGCTGCTCGGGAGGCCAGGATGGGAGCAGGACAAGTTTGAGGTCTGGGGCACCGATCTGGAGGCAGGAGGGTCACTGTGAGTTTGAGTTCGAGGCCAGCCCGGGCCGCAAAGTGAGTTTAAGACCAGCCTGAACTGCATACTGAGACCCTGACTCAAAAAGACAGGAGGTAAGTGAAAAAACCAACCATGTCTCAAAAAGCTTAAAGTTTTTTAGAAAGGAGCTGGGGGTGTAGTAACTAGTGCAGAAGCCTAGCGTGTGCACAGCCCTGGGTTCAGTTCTCACTGCTGAAAAAAAGTTTTTAACTTTTCATTTATAAAGTTAAGTTTTGCTTTGTCTTATTTTTGCTTTTTTGAGGGAGGGGTTGGTTTTTGTTCGGTTGGGGTTTTTTTGTTTTTGTTTTTTGAAACATGGTCTTGCTCCATGGTTCAGGCTGGCCCCGAGCTTGCAGCTGTCCCGGTGCCTCAGCCTCGCACATGCTGGGACTACAGCCTTGTGCCCGCACACCCGGATTCATCTCATCTTTAGAAGTAAAACCTGAGAATCAAAACTCATCAGTGAAGCTGGGCATAGTGGCGCGTGTCTGTAATCCCTGTGCTCTAAGATGCTGAGGCAGGAGGAGCAGAAGTTTGAACCAGCCTGGAAAATTTAGCAAGATTCTGTCTCAAAATTGAAAAATAAAAAGGTCTGCAGACATAACTTCTGTGTAAAGGCCTGGATTCCATCCCAGTACCACACATACACACACTGCGTAGTGGTAAATGGGCCTGTTGTCTAAATAACTGCCATTTTTTCAAAAAAATATTCCCTATGCACACATCTTTTGAACTTGCTTGTCTACCCGTTGAGGGGCTGCAGGTTTTCGTTGTTTTTCTGAGACCGTCACTGTGTGGTTCAGGCTGGCCTTGAACTTGACAGTGTAACCCAGTTTGGCCTCAGCCCGCCATGCTCCTGCCTCAGCCTGCAGAGGGGGATTACAGGCGTCAGCCACCACACCTAGCTGCAGGTTCGTGATTTTAAGAAGTACGGGTTTTATCCAAAACTAAGGATATCTGCCTGATCCGTGTGTCCAAAGGTCCATGGGTGTGAAGAACTGAGAGCTGTGTGCAGCGCTGCTCCCGGGGCTGGTCGTGCAGCGGGGAGGTTTCGCCCACGTGGGGAAGCACAAGCCGAGCTCTGTTGCTGACAGTCTGTTCGGCTTCTGCAGAGCTTTCCATCTGGGACAGCGGAATGAACGCGCTGCGGTTCATGTTTAGAGATACTTATCATAGCCATAATCGTTCTGATTGGCTTGAAGGAGCATGCAGACAATTGCTAGCGTTTGGTTTTATTTTGAACCTAATTTAACCTGATTTTCCTTAAAGTGACATGAATGAGATAGTCTTTTCAGTTTCACTGCCTCAGAGTGCAAGGCTTTCTCTGAAAACTAAACACAGATCTGAACGGGATTTTTATGTGAAGAATGTCAGGTTAGAGCTTAAGTCAGGTTGGAGCAGTCTTTACAGAGGCAGAGATCAGAAGCCTTCCATGGTTTTATCATCTGCCAGTTACCAGTCCACGTTTCTATTTATAGTGTGGTAATTTGTGTCCGCTGTGAGCACTGATTTCAGAAGAGGAAATCATGACTGTCAGTTTCTTTAGTGTGTGATGTGTCGGGCTGGGGCAGAGGCTGGAGTACGTGCTGGCAAGTTGGGTTAATGAGTCATTGGCGGGAAAGAGCAGTCAAACTACCAGCTCTAATCAATCATATCTAAACACAGTCCCTGCTCTGTTACCCATATGAAAGCAAGTGACTGTACTAGAAATTGTACTGTTTGCTTTAAAACACAGGAGCTAAACCTGGGGTGTCATGGTACACCCTTGTATCCCAGCCCGTGGGAGGTTGAGGCAGGAAGATGATGAGTTTGAGGCCAACCTTGTCCGAAAAAAACCGATCAGTAAACTTTGATTCACATTCCTGTTAGATTTAGTTGACAGTAAAGGTCAGTGTCAATTCATAGGTTCATGAGCAGATCCACCAGTGACGGAGAGCTGCATGGCTGCCAGGATAGTATCTTGGAACCCTGTAGGTGGGTACAAACCACAGGGCCTTGACTACGAATCCTGTAGATGGGTACAAACCCCAGGGCCTTGACTAGGAACCCTGTAGGTGGGTACAAACCCCAGGGCCTTGCCTAGGAATCCTGTAGATGGGTACAAACCCCAGGGCCTTGCCTAGGAATCCTGTAGATGGGTACAAACCCCAGGGCCTTGACTAGGAATCCTGTAGATGGGTACAAACCCCCAGGGCCTTGCCTAGGAATCCTGTAGATGGGTACAAACCCCAGGGCCTTGACTAGGAATCCTGTAGGTGGGTACAAACCCCAGGGCCTTGACTATCGGTAGTTAGCAGGGAGCCCTGTCCTGTTCTAAGTGGGAATAATAAACAGATTGGATGGCCACGTGAAATGTAGCCCAAAAGGGCGTAAGCTGCAGAGCTCGCGTTAACCCGGCCAGTCAGCATGAAGTGGTCAGGGTCGCGGCGTGGTGAGCCTGGAAGCCCAGGGAGTGCGAAGAGATACTGGAGAATCGGCCAATGGCTTGGGAGGGGGAGGGGCTGAAGGAAAGAGAGTCGGGTGATGGTAACAGAACTGAGTCACTGGGCGCCGGTGGAGATAAACTAGAGAAGCCGGCAAGGCCCTGTGCTTGTGTGGGCATAAAGCCTGGCAGGACGAAGCTTACATTACAGTGTGTGTGTGTGTGTGGCTGGGCACTGAGATCAGGGCCTTGAAGCAGTCACAGAGCTCCGTCCCTGGCTTCTCCATCCCTTTGGAGACACTTGTTGCTAAGTCGCTGAGGCTGGGTTCCTTTGCAGCGCTCCTGCCTCAGCTCCCCGGACAAGGATTTTGGGTGCGTCTCCACTCCCAGCTCTAAGTAAAATATTTTAATGGGTCTCTTCTGTAGATAGCCAAATGTAAACAGCTGCCCTTCCCTGAGAGTTACTGGTTTGACAGATAGCAGCTGAAACCACGAGTGTACATTTTCCTAAGAAATACGGAGGGAGAAAGTAGGAAGACCTGGTGTGAGATGGCTTGGAAGGGAAGGGTGGGCGTACGGAAGCGTACTGAGAGAGGGGCACGAGGCACGTCGCTGTGCGGTGACTGAGGACACAGTCCTGTGGCGAAGAGTGGGCTCCTGCCGCCCTGCCTCCTTGTCTGGCCTTCCCCACCAGCCGCTCTGCTCTCCAGTGAGTCGTGGTCTGTGCCTGTCGGTGGGGTGG